ATCATCGGGCACATCGTCTGGTTTCTCTTGATCTTCAGCAGCTTCCCCCGTTGCAGCATCATCGGGCACATCGTCTGGTTCCTCTTGATCTTCAGCAGCTCCCCCATTGCAGCATCACCGTATTCAGGGGGCACATAGTTGTCATCGTCCTCTTCTTCTTTGTTGTCTTCCATCATAACCCCTATTTCTCCGTGCGTCGTCCAAACATTATAGTGTGGCATGAAACCCTTGTAAAGCAGGTGGGTGTGAAGGATTTTCCGGTCAGAGTAAGACTTCGTATTCCCACATTTACTGCATGGACAACACATAAAACCATTCTGCTTGTTTGCCTCAGCCACTTCGAGAAAAATATGCAAGCCCTTAATGTACTCGGAGGTGTGTCTGTCACCATACATCCATTGTCGGTTCATCTGCTTGCATTACATATAATTATGTGTGTCAAAATTAAGAAAATCAGACAAATATCTATCTAAAGTAAGAAAATCAGACAAGTGTCATAAAGAAGATAAGAACAAGAGGCTCACCACTGTCGTGCCGACGACGAGATCGGCGCGGGCGATCAACGGCGGTGAAAACGGGGATGGGGCGTGACGGACCCCTAAATCTAGACAAATCTCGAAATAAATGGAGCTCCTAGGTCGAGCTTCGAGAGGAGAAAGCTTAACTAGTGTGGCTCGGGCATTTCATCGAACACCTCATGTGCATAGGAGGTGAACTAGAGCACCCAAATGCCCTCTCCTCGCCGGATTGAAAAAACAGAGCACTGTGGAGTGCTCTGCCGCGGCGGTGGGTATATATAGGCAAGTTATTTGTTCCGGTTCGTGGCATGAACCGGGACTAAAGCCACCCCTTCTGTCCCGGTTCATGCCACGAACCGGGACCAATGATTGTGGGCCAGCAGCAAGGACCATTGGTCCCGGTTCGTGGCTCGAACCGGGACAAATAGTTCTACACGAACCGGGACCAATGCCCACAAGGCCCCGGCCGGCGCCCTGGGCTCACGAACCGGGTCTAATACCCCCCATTGGTCCCGGTTCTTGAAGAACCGGGACTAATGGGCTGGCCAGGGCCGAACGGTAGCCCTGTTTTCTACTAGTGTATTATTCCCATCTAGTCAACACTAATAGTAAGCATTTGCCATCATTAGCAGAAGCAAAGAAACATAGCAGTACCTACTATCTACAAGGTGTAAGAAAGAAGGGATGCAGAGGACCAAGATTCCTAAGCTCTCCCATTTCTTTCATAGAAACTATTTCTCAAACAACTCTAGCCTTCTTATCCATGAGTAGGCTCATGTCAGTGCAACGCCGGCAATAACACAAGATACGTAACACGTTATAGAGCGGCGATTCAGAAATGCCACAATTGAAAGATTTGTAAGGCTTTCTCTGAAGAATCAGCCTGCATGATGATAGAAGATAATTACCCATAGTTCCGTTGGTCGGTGAACCATGCAAATATCTTTAAAGAATCATTGCTCGGTATAATTCAGCATCAACGTCAAAGAAGCGTGTCATGCGGTTGTCGAGGCCATGCATGCAAGTTATCGAGGAAATGCCCCAAAACAACGCTAGCAAATGATGATACATGGTGACTACATGATGCAATTACCTATAGTCTCCTAAATACGGTTTCAGGGCACCTTCGTTCTAATTCTGGCCTGGGTCTCTCGAAGAAAGTCATCAACGATGACACCATGGAGTCGGTTTCGGCTAGCACAGACACTAGTATGAGCGATCATGGTCATACCCACATCATCTTCTCTTATGTGACATCCCGTGCGCGCCTAATTGAACGGGAATGATTTTCAAGCCCATATATATTGCTTGGTTTCCCACCTAAATACGTCCATTTCTGCAAAGAACAAAAAACAAGGAGACTAGCTGTACTATGCATTTTATTTGTCATTGATGGGCAAATCAAAGTGATAATCTCCAATATATGAGAATATTCGGTTAAAACACAGGTAAAAATGAGAGAAAAATGCACTCAACAAGTATACAAACTAAAATGAGGTGGAGAGCTAGAAGCTAAACAGAGGGTGAAAATAGTAACCCTTGCAAGCTCATACAATGAAAAACATTCTCACTGACTATGCAACTTCCATTGGCCTCAAAATTAACTTTCATAAATCAACTTTGATTCCAATCAACTGTGGTGATGCCCTAAGTAAAGATCTTGCAGAAATATTTGGATGTACAATTGGAAAGATACCATTCACATACCTTGGATTACCACTTGGTGCTTCAAAACCTTCAGTCCAGGACCTAATGCCTATTGTCTGCAATATGGAAAGAAGACTCACTTCTACATTATCTGATGTCCTATGGATCCAAACTCTCCTTACTAAACACGGTCATCACATCACTTGTTATTTTTACACTCTGCACGCTAAGATTTCCTCCAAAAATCCTTGAGCTCCTAGACAAACTAAGAAGGAAATGTCTATGGACAAAGAAGACAGAACAGGGTGAAAAATGCAACTCTTTGGCGGCCTGGGACAGAGTTTGCAGACCAAAGCAGAGTGGAGGGCTTGGAATCATTAACCTTAAACTGCAAAGTGATGCTCTCCTTCTAAAATATTTACACAAGTTTTACAACCGTCTGGACCTACCTTGGGTAGAATTGATCTGGTCCACATACTATACCAACAAAATACCACATGCCTCAGATCCATGTGGATCATTCTGGTGGAGGGACATTCTCAAGCTTACTCCTATTTTTAGAGGAATCTCCAAAGTTACAGTGAACTGCGGAAACAATGTTCTCATGTGGAAAGATCTGTGGTTGGATGATGTTCTTTCTGATACACATCCTAGAGCATTTTCTTATGTCAGAAATGAAGATTGCTCAGTTCAAGACTTCTTAACCATAACATCTTTGGAACAAGCATTCTTTCTGCCACTATCTTCACAAGCATTGCAGGAAGTTCAAGATATGCAAGGATTGGTAGCCCACATTACTTTGGATAACAACCAAAATGCAAAAGATATATGGTCTTACCCTTGGAAAGGAACTGATTTCTCTACAAGCAAATACTACAAATTCTGCTTCAGGGATATGAAGGCCCATAAAACTTACCACTGGCTATGGAAATCAAAAGTCTCTGCTAAACTCAAGGTCTTTGGATGGCTTATGTTGTCTAACAGATTAAACACCAGAAACATGTTGAAGAGAAGACACTATAACATTGGTACAAACCTGAACTGCTTACTATGCGGCCAAAAAGAAGAAGACATTGATCACTTGATCCTAACATGCCCATTTAGCAGAAACTGCTGGTCAACCTTTGGGATAGACCCTGGAGATCAGGCCACTAGATTATCCTGGCTAGAGCAAGATAAAATTATTTGGGGCAGGCCTTTGTTCATGGAAATCATCCTTCAAGCATCCTGGAGCATTTGGAAGGAAAGGAACAACAAACTTTTCAGAAATATTAGCCCCTCTTACCACTCCTGGCTAGCCAGATTCAGAGAAGAGTTTAGTCTTCTCCAATATAGGGTTAAAGACAACAAGAAGGAGTTCATCTTCTTGCTTTTAGACTCCCTACCCTCTAATTAATTGTACCCTTTAGATCTTTTCTATCCTCACTCCAAAGAGAGATGGGGGGAGACATGTACATGATGTAACTACTCCTTGTAAATGTGCTATAATTATTAATATATATGACAGTGGGAGTCTCTCCCACTGTCCCAGTTCCTCAAAAAAAAGTAAGAAAAATATGCAATTGAAATAGGGCGCTTATAGGCGCCGGCGCACTGGCCGAAACTTTCGGCCGGTCCAGCCCAGGCCATCGGATGTGAGCCAGGCGGCCGTTGGATCCAGGCAAAAAAAAATAGATCGCCCCCAGCTTCTTCTTCTTCGCGCAGCCGGGCTGGATCCGCATCTCCCGCTCGGGGAGCACGATACCGCGCCTCCCGTCCCCTCTGGTGGTCGTCCCCGTCGTCAGTCCCCACCCTCGCCGGTCATCCTCGTCGCCCACCGGACCCCGCCCTCGCCGACCGTCATCGTCAACGGTCCCCCACCCTCCCGGCCTCGTTCTCGCCTCGACCAATGCACCAGCTCCACCTACGGTAGCAGCTGTTGACGATGAAGGTTGTAGCTCTGCCGCCCTCGCCATTGATGCTCGCTGCAGGAAAAATACGTCGACGACCGCCGTGAGTCAATCAACACCATTTGAATGGATGTAGCAAAAAATTTCACCAATAGTAGCAAAATCAAACTACGGGTGCAGCAAAAACGCCGTCGCCACCTTCGCGAGGTCGCAGCTCCGCCTTACATGGATGTAGCAAAAACCTCCAACGGTAGTAGCAAAATCCTGCTACGGTTGCAGCAAAAAAATCATTGTCGTCCTCGCGACGTCGCAGCTCTGCCTGATGGATGTAGCAAAAAGCTTTGCCGGTAGTAGCAAAATCCAACAACGGTTGCAGCTTTCCCTTGTTGTGCAGTGCCATTGAAGCTTTCTATGTCTATGGTTGAAGCTTTTTTCAACGGCTGTTGAAACTTTTCTAGGTGACGGTTGCAACACTTGTATACGCGGGAGGATCCGGGCATGGCTGCAGGCAGCCATGGCGGTCGGCGAGGGAGTGCTTGGCCGCCGGAGATGGAGCTTGTGGTGGCCCAAACACAGCCCGGGAGGAGGGGGGAAGGGATGCGCGCGCGTGAATACTGTAGGTAGGGGGTGGACGTGTCGTCCATGTGGGGAAATCGCCGGCCGTGCAGTGGACGGCGGCCTCGCCGGGGAGATTGGGCTGCCGTAGGTAGAGGGTCGATGCGGGGGGTAGACGGCGTCCTTGCCGGTGAGATTGGGCTGCAGCGGGGTAGGGACGCGATGCGGGGGTGGACGGCGGCCTTGCCTACGAGATTGGGCTGCAGCAGATGGGGTGCGGATGCATGTCTCATCGACACAGGAGCACGAGGTAGCGGGCGACCGGCCGAAGATTCGGCCGGCGCACGTCTCCAAACGTTTCCCATTGAAATAATGTCAATCTCTGATCCGGATGCAGGAACTGGAAGAGAAAACGGACGAGCCGTCGAGTGGACGGGGGCCCAACACCACTTTGCCAGTCAAAGCCCACTGCTACAACTACTACGAGTCAAAGTCCTCTCGCTGGCTAGGTTTCCTCGCCGCCGAAATGAACCCGAGCGAGGACGGCGCCCGCCGCCGCCGCCGCTCCCAAACCCACGCGAGTGACGAGGCCGTCGGAGTGATCCGCCGCCGCAGTCCGCGCCTCCATCCCCAGGTTCACCCGAGCGAGGAGGGAGACGGAGCGGCTCGCCGCCGCAGCCCGCGCCCCCGTTACCAGACCCGCGGGACTGGTGAGGGCGCTGGAGTGATCCGCCGCAGCTTCCCGGCTGCGCTGGCCTCGCCGATCGAAGACGAAGACCTCCTGATGGAGATCCTCCTTCGTCTCCCGCGGCAGCCCTCCTCGCTCATCCGGGCCTCCGCCGTCTGCAAGCAGTGGCGGTGCGCCGCCACCGACCCCAAGTTCCTCCGCCGCTTCCGCCTCCACCATCGGAAGCCGCCCCTCCTCGGCCTCTTCCACCAGCGCAACCATGATATCGTCTTCACCCCCACCATGGACCGTCCCGACCGAATCCCTCCAAAGCGTTTCGACCTGCATCAGCATCTCGACAGCCACAACATGGGGGCGGTCCAACTTCTCGATTGCCGCCATGGCCGCGTCCTTCTCACGGACAAACGGCGGGATGAGCTCATCCTATGCGACCCTATCATCGGTGAGCAGCGCCTCATGGCTGTTCCTCCAGAGTTCGTAAGAAAATACTTCAACGGGACTGTGCTTTGTGCTGCCATCGACCATGACCATGTGCACGAAAGCTGCCACTCGAGCCCCTTCAAGGTGGTGCTGATCTATCTCGGAGGGGATAATCAACTTACCGTGTGTGTTTACTCCTCTGAGACTGGCGTATGGGGTGATATCATTTCGACAACCGCTTCATATCATCTTTCTGACTATGGTATCCCTGGCTTGCTTGTTGGTAATTCGCTTTACTGGTTGCTGGATATTATAGGGGCTGGCATACTTAAGTTTGATTTGGATGAGCAGAGCCTAGCTGTGATCAAGGGGCCTCTTGTTACAAATGATTTTAGCCGTGGTAGTTGCATCATCCAGGATGAGGATGGCACGCTTGGCTTCGCCATATTGTCTTACCCTCACTTACAAATGTGGCAGAGGAATATCATTTGCCATGGTGTTGCCACATGGGTGCTATGGAAGACCATTGACATGCGTACAATTCTTGGGCTCCCTAAACAGATTCAAGGAAAGAGGACGCTTATAAGAAGTATACTGGGATGCCTCGAGGATTGTGACGAAATACTTCTATCTGTGGATCGTGGTGCCTATATGGTTCAACTTAAGTCGATGAAGTCTAGGAAACTTTGTGAAAACAGTTATTTAACTTGCTATCATTCTTTCAAGAGTTTCTATCCTCCAGGTGATTTTTCATCCTTAGTCCTCATATTGTAGGAGTAACTTAATACCTTCGTTGTGATTCTCAAGTGTAATAACTTAAACTTAGTTATTGTGCCTTTGCTAGAGACAAACTTATAGCTATATTGCCGAATTTATGTTATCATTCAATATATTTGTCGTCATGCTTCACTATTAATTTCCTAGATAGACAAGCTTATAGCCTTCTTTTGTGTTATCATTAAATGTAGTTGTCTTCCTCCGTGGGAGATAACAAATCAAATATCAAGTGGGTAATAATGTGAAATCAAATGTCAAATGGTTTAACTCATTTGCTAGCTATATTCGTTGATACTATATTTTTAATCTTGCTTTTTTTTTTCTCAACTCCGATCCATAAAAGAACTTCTGTTTAAACAGTACCTTCCAAAACAATAGTTTCAGTTTTTACTTATTCAAGAGCATCCTGCAACTGACTACTGCAACACACATTTTTTCGCGTATTTGTTGTCTCTAATCAGGCTTTCTTTACTAAATTTGAATACCCAGGATCTCTTTTGCCGGTAGTGTTTATGAGTTTTCGCATGTTTCTATTTTGTCTTCTTCAAATGAGGAGCGATGAGTTAGATGAGATTAATTCTTGACCATGTTTTCCTTTCTTATAAGCTAAATTCTTCATTATGAGGTAGCTATATGTATATATATTGTTTAAATGAATATTCCTTGCAAAAAGCAAAATATGTGGTTTTATTTCTTACGAGTATCAGTAGTGAGTTGTAAAACGTAAATACAAGAGTGTGTTTTTTCCTATATTTGTCAATTCATCTATGTAATAGACTCACTGTTGCCTTCTCATATCCATTTTTATTTTTGTTGGAACTTTATTAAATACCTGCCTTATGCTTCTAGGAACATCCATTGCTGGTGGATGTGATGGAAATGATGCATGCTACACAAGGTGATTGTCTGGTTTGATGTTCTAATGTGCTAAAATGGTAACAGGTAAGAAAATCTTCTGAATATAGTTTGTGAGATTTGAACTGTTTGGTTTTCACTTTGGGAAATATTTGGCAGCCCATGTGGGTAGCATGTACCCTCAAACTACTGTCCATTCGACTATAGGGATTTGCTCATGCTAATAACACAGACAATCAGTTTTAATGGTGGTGATGCTAAGTGAAAAATGGCCTTTCTTTTGGATCATAAATGATATGCAGGTTATATGGCTCTTCCTTTTTTAGGGGGCGGGGTGGGGGTATTATATAGCTCTTCTTTATGTTGCTGTGCTGATCATGAGTTCACATGGCTCGTTCATACACTGTTGCATACTCCTAGATTTTACTGTCAGATTTTGTCTGTATCTATATCAAGTTTGTAACTCGTCCAAGAAATGAATGTATCTAGATGTATTTTAGTTGTAGATACATTCATTTTTATCCATTTTTGTGACAAGTAATTCCGAACGAAGGGAGTAACAGATTAGCGCTTTTGTTTTCCCCAGGTGAAGAAGGGCTGCTGGAGATGTTAGTTGTCACTGAGCTTGTCGCATTCCATCAATGTTGTCGGCAGTGTTTATATGTTATCTAAAACAACTTACCGTGTCTTAGTCTAGCCAAGTCTCTAGTGTAGCAAGATACTTTTGAATACCTGATCCAGGAAATTCAGCTTACTAGTGTTATTTCAAGTTGGATTTCATCGTCTCTTGTTCTTGTTAAGTGTTTGTGCTTGGTTGGCAGGTCTTCTGTTGAGCCATGATAGTTTCAGTGCCATGTATCACTGAAACTTGTTTGTTTGAGTGTGCTTGTCAGCTTGTCTACTTTCTTGTCTTGGAAGTGAGTCAGTGCCATGTAATGGTTCATATGAGCCAGCGTACTCAGCTATTTGGTGCTGAAGATACCCGGAATGGTAGGAACTGGACAACTGAAACTGCTGTGAGTAGCTTCCTTGTTGGCAAGTGGAATTAAACACAGAGTTGTATCCTCAAAGAAAAAAAAACATGTAGTCGTGGGTTTTTACAGTTTGATGGACAAGCTCCCATTAATTTCCTGTAGATTCAGATGGATACCGGTTTCCTGCTGATGGCAAGCTTTCTCCCGTCCATATATGTGCATGTGAGTTTTGACTGGCTGAACTTTCTACAGCAGTCTAGTATGCGTTTCAGTAGTACTAATGTGTTATTGTTTCAAAACTGTTCAGATCCGAAGGTATTGCCATTTATGCTGTGCGGCTTGCTTGCACTGGTAGCTCCTCAACCTGAACTGCACGCCTCATCTGAGTTACTCGTCGTTTCCAACACAAGCATCCCATCGCTGTAACCATCTGATTTGGAGTATGATATATTGTTCCAAAGTCAAGAGAGCAGAGTTCTGGACCTTCCCGGTGCAATGCAGGCATGCAGCCAACTATTCCCCTAGGTGCAGTCAGTGTGACTGATGATGCTCTCCATTGCACACAGCTTGCAAACGAAAAAATCCTAAATATTCTGATTGGAATTATAGCAAAATCCTCTAGCTGTCAAATGGAACAAAAAATGACTTCATTTGTTTAGCGTTTTATATTTAGGTGGCAACAGGAAAAGGTTCATATTTATTTAGCTTTTAAATTTGTCATAACGTTTTGGAAGCCATATTGTTCCCTCTTTTGGTGACACTATTGTACAACGGTTCTCTCATTGTGCAGGAAAAATTGTTCAAAAAGCTCTGGATTTGAGCAGTCTACACAAAATGAGTCATTCTGCTGAAACATAAGCTGCATTATTGCAGAAACGTGTCCATAGTCCATTCTTTCCCTCTTATATAAAAAAAATGAAATTCAGTTAGACCTTCATGATGGTCACTTCAAAAGGCATGACTTACCACTTATTAATGGACGGCTAGATCAACCACTCAAAAAGACATCCAGCCCTGGAGCTGCTACTGCTTCGGCGCGTAAGTCTCATTCCAAACTGATCACTGATATTCACTCCAGACTATGGCCTCCAGAGAAGGACGGTGTTTATAGCTTTGGCATTGTGATCATGGAAATTGCCAGTGGAAGAAAGAAACTCGACACTTCCCGGTCTGAAGAGAGCATCCATCTTATTACCCTATTTGATGAAAAAGTTAAGACTGATCAGTTGGTAAATTTGATTAACAAGAACTTAACGACATGCAACCACATGAGCAAGAAGTAGTTCATATGATAAAGCTTGCAATGTGGTATCTACAGATTGATTGCAAGAGAAGGACTCAAATGTCTGAGATTATCAAAGTCCTAGAAGGTACTAAGAATGCAGTGATCAACATAGAGCACAACTTTGTTCTTACAAATCTAGGAAATTTTGTTATTGTAAGATTAGGGAAACCACACGTTGTGGTGCCTTGTATTGATCAATATATAGAGGTTACAAGGCAGAGTTCGTATCGTACAATATACGGACACCTATACAAGGACTACGCATATATATATATATATATATATATATATATATATATATATATATATATATATATATATATACAAAACAATACGGTTATATATCCTAAAACCCTCCCTCAATCATAAATGGGCGTCCACGAATGTTAAGACTGTCCCAAAAATCCAAGAAGAGAGGGGATGGCAATCCTTTGGTGAAAATGTCCGCAAATTGTGAAGAACTCGGAACGTGAAGAACCCGGACCTCGCCCGTGGTGACACGGTCTCGTACGAAGTGTAGATCGATCTCCACATGCTTGGTGCGTTGATGATGAAAGGGATTCTCTGTCATGTAAACATAGCTCACATTGTCACAAAACACCACAGTGGCACCAGTCACCGATCGACGAAGCTCCTGAAGAAGTTGCCGTAACCAACATGTTTCAGCCACTACATTTGCAACTGCCCTGTATTCGGCCTCGGCGCTAGAGCGAGAGACCGTGTGCCGCCGCTTAGCAGACCATGATACCAGGTTAGTGTCGAGGAAGACACAATAACCAGATGTAGACCGGCGAGTGTCAGGGCAACCTGCCCAGTCAACGTCATAGTAGGCCATCAATTTGTTGCAGCTGCGTCGAAACAAAGTGAGGCCATGGCCGGTGATGCCGCGGATGAAGCGAAGCACACGCTTCACAAGGAGCAAATGATTAGCCCGAGGATCATGCATATGAAGACAAATCTGTTGCACAGCATAAGAGATGTCTGGCCGAGTGAATGTGAGGTACTGAAGACCGCCTGCAATACTTTGATACTCGGTGGGTTCTGCAACTGGATCACTGGACTTGGCTGAAAGTTTGGAGGAAGTATCAACGGGAGTAGAGATGGGTTTGCGCTGCAACATGCCAGCTTGGTCAAGAAGATCCAATGCATACTTCTCCTGTGAGAGGAACAGACCGTCCTTGCTGCGTGTGATAGAGATGCCCAGAAAGCAATGAAGATCACCCATATTTGTCATACTGAACTCGGTACAAAGAGAGGCAATCAAACTATGCAACAATGTCGAGGAAGACGCAGTCAGGATGATGTCATCCACATAGAGCAGGAGGTAGGCCATGTCAGCGCCACGCTGATAGACGAACAATGAGCTGTCAGACTTGGAGCCAACGAAACCAACTGATGCAACGAATGAAGCAAACCGCTGAAACCATGCTCGAGGCGTCTGTTTCAAACCATAGAGTGATTTGTTGAGGCGGCAAACCTTATCAGGGAAGCGAGGATTAGTGAACCCAGAAGGCTGACGAGCATAAACAGTCTTGGTGAGAGAGCCGTTGAGGAACGCATTCTTGATGTCAAGCTGATGAATCGACCAGTCACTAGAGAGAGCACTGTGCGAATAGTGGCTGGCTTGATGACAGAGTTGAAAGTTTCATCAAAATGGATACCTTCGTGTTGAGTAAATCCAAAGAGCACCCAACGAGCTTTGTAGCGATCCAAAGAACCATCAGACTTCATCTTGTGATGGTAGATCCACTTACCAGTAACGATGTTAGCATTGCGAGGTGGATCAACGAGGTCCCAAGTGTTGTTGGAGAGAAGAGCACCATACTCCTCAACCATAGCGGAATGCTAGTTTGGATCCTTGAGAACACCACGATAAGTCTTCGGTATTGGAGATAAACCCTCAACATGAAGATCAAAAATCTTTTTCGGCTGCACAATACCCTGTTTAGCACGAGTGGCCATGGGGTGAGATGGTGGCGGTGGGGGACCCCGCGGCCGGCGGGTCCGGGGTGGATCCACAGCAACAGGAGCTGGCGACGACGTGGCCGGTGGTGACGCTGCTGCAGCAGGAGAAGGACTCCTAGCAGGGCCGCCATCAAGGCCCCCGGTAGGGCGCTCGACAGAAGCCCGTTCCCCAGGCGACCGAGGCGAGGTCGGTGGCGGCGACATAGGCGAGGTCGGTGGCGGCGATCGTGACACGGTCGCGTCCGAGGTTGCCGTGCCTGGCACGGTGAACGGCATCAACGACACCGGCTGCTCAGTACCCTGCAAAAAATCATAAGTGTGCATGGAAGGAGTAGGAGTTGACAAAGATGGAGTGGAGGCAAAGGGAAAGCCTGACTCATCAACACTACATGGCGGGAGATGATGATCTTTTGGGTGGAGCGATCAAGGCAACGATAGCCATGATGACGTGATGGGTACCCTAGAAACACGCATGGCATGGAGCGAGGCGCAAGTTTGTGCGGAGCAACGGCGGTGGTGTTGCGGTAACATAGACAACCGAAAACCCGAAGACCAGCATATGCAGGATCCACGCGAAGTAAGGCACGAAAGGGAATGCGATCCGAGATTGCCTTGGAAGGCAGTCGATTATGCAACATAACAACGGTGTGAAGAGCTTCGACCCAGAAACGAGGTGACATGCTAGCTTGGATGAGGAGTGTACGAGTAATGTCATTAAGAGTACGAATAATACGTTCGGCTTTACCATTCTGTTGCGAAGTGTATGGACATGAAAAGCAGAGTGCAATTCCATGGTGATGGGAAAATGAATGGAGGAGTGAACTATCGAACTCACAACCATTATCACACTAAATAGCCCGCAAGCGTGCACTAAACTGGGTGAGCGCTAAAGCATGAAGGGACGATAAGTGGAAGAAAGCTTCTGACTTAGACCGAAGAGGGTAAACCCATGCATACTGAGTAAAATTATCGAGACAAAATGAGATAATACTTAAAGCCAAAAATACTCTCAACAGGAGATGTCCACAGATCACAGTGAATTATTTGAAACAGAGTAGTGGTTACACAATTGGTGGAAGAAAAAGGAAGATGAACGTGACGACCTAACTGACAAGCGTGACACAAACTACTTTTATTCTTTTCCCTAGGGATGATCGAAGAACGAGCTAATGACTCCATGACGGGTCGCCCAGGATGTCCAAGCCGACGGTGCCAGAGTGCTGCATCGACGACGAGGAAGGCATGTTGCTGGCTGGTAGAGGAAGGACAGATGGAGTAGAGAGCGCCGAAGCTATTGCATCTGAGAATCTCGGTCCTGGTTAGAAGATCCTTTACAGAAAAACCAAGAGGGTCAAATTCGATGGATACACGATTATCAATGGTGAACTGGCGAACAGACAAAAGGTTTTTAACTATGTTAGGAACCACTAAGACATTACGAAGATAAAGGGGACGAGAGGTGGTGGAGATAGGAAGACGTGCATGCCCGGTACTGGTGATTGGAAGGGTGGAACCGTTACCGACAATGACAGCACAATGAGAGGAGGGGGAGACACGGAGGTGAGCATACCGGGATCGGACGCGAAGTGGGAGGAGGCGCCAGTGTCCATCACCCACTCCCTGGTGTGTGCTTGCAGCCCCATGGTCTAGAACTGATGCATGAGCGCGGCCTGGTCCCACGAAGCCGTTGTCGATGCCGGTGATGATGGAGCCGGGCCGGTGAGTCCGTAGGAGGGCTGTCCAGGGGCGTAGCCGTTACCGTAGGGGGCAATGTTGTACGGGTTCTGAGCATATAACGCATGCGGCGATGGGGTGTGCCGGGGCGCATAGCTGGGAGCCGAGGCGTAGCCGGGCGGTGCACGGCCGAGCAGACCCCCTTGGCCATATGGCCACATCTGGATGGCACCGTTCCAGGGATGTTGTGGCGAGGGCCAGGAAGGAGTGGCAGCCGGCGGTGTCGCGGGCCCGGGATGGTCTCCTTGGCGACTCCAGCGGCGGCCTTCTTCTTCTTCTTTCCTTTTCCAGAGGCCTTGCCAGGGTTGCTAGTGGCGGTGTTGGTGAAGAAGGCCGTGTACGAGTTGCGCGCGCGGCGATTTTTGCGCTTCATGTCCTAGAGCGCGAGCAACGAGCAGCACTGCGCGAAGGTCATATCGAGCATGAGGGAGATCAGATCGGCGGCGGACTTGTATTGCTCGGAGAGGCCGTTGAGGCAGTGGACCACCATCTCGGCATCATCAACGGGGGCGCCAAGATCCGCAAGCCCATCGGAGAGGGACTTGACCTTCTGAAGATAGTCGGCCATGCTCATCTCTCCCATCTTGACATCGTCGAGCTCAGCCGTGAGGTGGAGCTGACGATTGATCTTATGGTCGTTGAAGAGTCTGTTGATGCTATTCCAGAGTTCGACGGTGAGTGGATCGTCATCGGGCGTCATGACATCGTCGAGGATGCTGAGCGAGACAGACTCATAGAGCCAAGAGACGATGGTGGCGTCGAGGAGAGACCAGTCCGGGGTCGACGCGTTGGGGGCGTCAAAGTCGAGGTGATCCAGGAGGGCATACTTGCGGCAGGCGGCGCAGAAGAAGGTGTGCCACTGACGGTGAACACCGGTGTCAAGCGCGAGCTCGACGGGAATGTGTCCCTTAATGGAGTGCAGGCCGACGGCTTGGGCATGGAGCGAGGTCAAGGAGAAGCACCCCGCACTCGTCCCGGATCCATCGGCATCGGTCGCGAGAGGCGGCTTGGCCTTGGCGGCCTCGGCCTCGGCGTCCTGATGCTCCTTGGCCGCGGCCAGCGCCTGGTTCGTCGTGTCCGTGTCGGGCTGCAACATGGAGGTGGCGGTGTGGGCGCGGCGGTGAGAGGGGCGGTGGTTTCGGTGGCAGCGGAAGGAGGAGGGCGGCACAGGCTAGGGTTAGGGTTTTAGGCTCTATACCATGTAAGATTATGAAAACCATACGTTGTGGTGCCTTGTATTGATCAATATATAGAGGTTACAAGGCAAAGTTCATATCGTACAATACAAGGCAAAGTTCATATCGTACACCTATATATACAAAACAATACGGTTATATATTCTAACAGTTATTGATGCGAATGTGAACATCAAAGGATTGCTTTGGCTTGTAAAGCAATGAAACGGGCCAGCCCAGTTATGACGAGGGAACAAAAACCTTCAAGCGAGACGGAAGCTACACTCGCGCTAAGCGAGATATAGTCTTCGTGGTTGGCCGTGGACGTCCTCCCGTTGACTACAGTCATACATAGCGTGCTTGGTTGGTTTTTTTTTCTTATTCCGGTCGGTTTATTCAAATTTAAAATATTCATGAACTTTAAAAATTTAAAAATAGAAAAATGGAGAAGGAGAACGGAAATATGAGGCCGCTTATCTAGAGTAAAATATTTGTCTGTTGTATCATGTGCCAAATGAAATGAGTAGAACACTTGTATGCTGTATCTTTCCAAATTAGTACAATCTAAAGCCGCTTCTCTTGAGTTAATTTTACATGAAAAAGCATTAATATTACAAGATACAGTAGAAGAACTAAATTTATTCTATAGGATCTTAATGACAGCCATATTAAGAGTTCATAAATGACGGGCTGGGTCTGAAGCTTTTTCTTTTCTTTTGTTGAAAGATGCAAAATCCTTGCCCCTGTCTGTTGATAAAGAACAAGAATCGGTTCATATTTACTTTAAACGTTCTTGGCATAACAGAAAACAAATACTATCAGCAGGGAAAAAAAATTATATAAGACCAGGTCTCATATAAAGTAGGTGAGACCCGTCCTGATGGATGACACGTGGCATTCACAAATCACAAAGCATCTAATCTCTCCCCCTGATTTTAGATGGGGGTGGGATAAATGATTTGTGATTTGTGAATGCCACATGTCATTCATCAGGATGGGTCTCACCTGCTAATCCGTAAGACCCGGTCTCATAGAATTTTTTTCCCTATCAGCAGCAACAGCCAAAAGCAAAATATTACATGATGCTCTTATATTTCTTTACGAAGGGAGTATGTCTCAAAATGGTCCTTAGCTAGCTGCGCTACCTCAAGCAACCTCTTGCGACCCCCACGCGATGCCTCCCCAGGGCGCGTTGGGAGCGATCTCAAGCACGCCAACAGCCAACCACAACGCGACCTCCCCTCCGCCGCTGCTGGCATAGGCCGCGGTGGCGGCGGGCCCAACACCTAAGGGGTTGGGGGGTTGGATGCGGCGGCGACCCTCATGGATCTACTCGGGCGAGTCCATCGAGGAGCATGTGCACAGCGGCCAGGGCGGCGCCCTGGTCGTGTGGCGACGGTGCTAGCCCCCATAGTCGCCTGGAACCGACGAGTTCTCTAGCGATGGTGGGCATGTCGGCGGCCATGGATCTGGATCCCACCCAGATTCATCGTCAGTTCTTCACATGGATGGTCGGCGACGCGATGAGGGGTTCGGTGAGGGGATGGAGGATGCCTGCCGGAGTACTGGCGGTGACATACGTCTTCATGGCGAGGTTCCGCGTGGTTCTAGCCAGCCGCGAGATCGGGACGACGCGGCTTCCGGTGAAAATCGCGCTTAACTGCGGTCTTGGCGGACAATGGCGGCATCTCTGACGTTGTTTCTTTCTCGAGTCATTGTCGTTGTAGGTCACGTCAACTTGATCGGGATGTTCTAGGGGAAACCCTAGATCTGGGTCCACCGGATTGGACGAGGATGGCGCATTCGGTGACGTTCTCCCTCCCGGAGGCATCATTTTGGAGCAAGTGCTGGCTGGAGGGGACAAGAGGAGGAGCGGTGTTACATCTACCGAAAGGCCGAAGGCGGATCTCGGGGGCATGGTGTAGCCAAGTTTCAGTGACGGGCGCGTGTGGATGGATACGTGCAGGATGTTGGTGTCGTCTGGCATTGCGGTGTCATCGACAACAATATGGCCTAACGATGTGGATACACTGATCACTCCTGAAGGTGGGGCGATGGAAGATGGCAGCAACCGATCGTAGAGTGTGCACCTACGGTGTGCAGAGGGTCTAACTAGAACTGTTGGTTCTCTCCGTCTGCCAGCGGGCTGCTTGTGGCCACCGGAATAAATGTAGTGTTGATATGTGGTAAGGGCGCGTCATCAAGATTGTAGATGTGGGGACAATAGTTGTTAGGAAGATGACTTCAGATTGACTCATGTGTTTGTTTTGTTAGGTTCTGTGCAATAATATAATAAAATGGCTATATTCCTTTTTCTGCGCTACAACAAAGAGAAATGTTTGACGAAGCTGTAGAAAAAGATTTGCTGCCCATTTTGCAGATGCAGCTATCGGGTGAACACAACGGGGGCCCAACACAACCACTAAGCCCGAGTGCACGGTGAACTCGTCTCTGCTACTCTCACCACTCCGCTCCCCGTTACTCCCTGTGTGGTGTGGTGTCGCTAGCTAGGTCTTGCCGCCGCCGCCCAAATGAAAGAGAGCGAGGACGGCGGCCGCCGCCGCCGCAGGCCCCAAACCCAGGCGAGTGACGAGGCCGTCGGAGTGACCCGCCGCCATCCCCAGCTTCACGCGAGCGAGGAGGTTGCCGGAGTGGCTCGCCGCCGCTCCCGTTCCCAGATCCGCGCGACTAGCGAGGGCGCTGAAGTGATCTGCCGCCGCGGAGTCTTCCCGCCGGCGCTGGCGTCGCCGATCGAAGACGACGGCCTCCTGAGGGAGATCCTCCTTCGTCTCCCGCCGCAGCCCTCCTTGCTCGTCCGGGCCTCCGCGGTCTGCAAGCAGTGGCGGTGCGCGGCCACCGACCCCAAGTTCCTCCGCCGCTTCCGCCTCCACCACCGGAAGCCGCCCCTCCTCGGCCTCTTCCACCGCCGCAAGGATGATATCGTCTTCACCCCCGTCATGGACCGTCCCGACCGAATCCCTCCAAGTCGTTTCGACCTGCATCTCCTGGACACCGACAGCCACAACATGTGGATGGTGGAACTGCTTGATTGCCGCCACGGCCGCGTCCTTCTCATGGACACACTATGGGATGAGGTCATCATGTGCGAACCTATCACCGGCGAGCAGCACCGCTTGACCGTTCCGGCAGAGTTCGTAAGGAACCGGTTCACCGGGGCTGTGCTCTGTGCTGCCATCGACCATGACCACGTGCACGGAAGCTGCCACTTGAGCCCATTCAATGTGGTGTTGATCTCCGTTTTCGGAGGGAATAATCAACCTATCGCCTGTGTTTACTCCTCGGAGATTGGTGAATGGGGTGATATCATTCCATCAACCGTTTCATTTGAGCTTTCTTACGAACATACCCCTGGGTTGCTTGTTGGTAATGCCCTTTACTGGTTGTTGGATTCTATAGGCAATGATATACTTAAGTTTGATTTGGATGAGCAGAGCCTAGCTGTGATTAGGGGGCCTCCTCTTACAAATGATTTTCGCCATGGTAGTCATTGCATCATCCAGGCTGGGGATGGCGTGATTGGGTTCGCCATATTGTCTTACCCTCACTTACAAATGTGGCAGAGGAATATCAATTTTCACGGTGTTGCCACATGGGTGCTATGGAAAACAATTGATATGCGTATGATTATTGGGCTCCCTAAACAGATTCAAGGAAAGAGGGCAGTTGTGAGACGTATATTGGGATCCCTTGAGGATAGTGATGAAATACTTCTATCTGTGGGCCGTGGTGCCTATAAGGTTCAACTTAAGTCGATGAAGCCTAAAAAACTTTGTGAAAACGGTTATTTAACTCGCTATCATTCTTTCACCAGTTTCTATCCTCCAGGTGATTTTTCATCCTTAGTCCTCGTATTGTCGGAGTAACTTAATCTCGGTGTGTTCTGTACATGCATGTTCGAATACCTCCTGTTGCGATTCTCAAGTGTAACGGCTTAAACTTAGTTACCGTCCATTTGCTAGATAGACAAACTTATATCTGTATTGTTTAATATATGTTATCATTCAATATATTTGTCTTCATGCTTCATATTCATTTCCTAGATAGACAAGCTTATGGCCTTCTTTGTGTTATCATTCAACGTAGTTGTATTCGTCCTGCAAGTGACTTATGCAACACACCTTTTTTCCGCATTTGTTGTCTCTAAGCATGCTCTGTTTACTTAATTTGAATACCCAAGATCACTTTTCCCGGTATTGTTTATGAGTTTTCGCATGTTTCTATTTTGTCTTCTTGAAATGAGGAGTGATGAGTTAAATGAGATCAATGCTAGGCCATGTCTATCTTTCTTATAAGCTAAACTTTATTATGAGATACGTATGTATATGTATATTGTTTAAATGAATATTCCTTGCAAAAAGCAACATATATAGTTTTATTTCTTACTAGTTAGTTGTAAAACTTAAATACAAGAGTGCATATTTTTCTTATATTTGTCAATTCATCTATGTAATATACTCACTGTTGCCTTCTCATATCCATTTACATTTTTGTTGAAACTTTATTAAATGATTGCCTTATGCTTCTAGGCACATCTATTGCTGGTGGATTTGATGGAGCTGACATGATGCATGATTCACAAGGTGATAGTTTGGTTTGATCTTCTAATGTGCTGAAATGGTAACAGGTAAGAATCTTCTGAATATAGTTTCTGAGAATTGAACTGTTTGATTTTCACTTTGGAAAATATTTGATGGCCAGTGTGGGTAGCATGTATCCTCAAACTACTGTCCATTCGACTATAGGGATTCAGACATGCTAATAACGTAGAAAAAAATTAAAATGGTGGTGATGCTAAGTAAAAAATTGCTCTTTTTTGGATCATAAATGATATGCAGACGTTGTATCCCCAGAGTTCCCCTTTGGTTTAGCTGTTTCATAATCTATAAGTTGCAATCAATATATATTAGTTGCCAATTTCGTTACTACAAGCATCAGCTGCATCATTCAACTCCATCACCTCACATTCATGTGATAAGGTTGGAAGATTTACTTTGTTGCCATCTGTATTTCGAGGAGATATAGTCAGCAATATGATATAGCTCTTCCTTTTTAGGGGGTGAGGGTGGGGGTATTGTATAGCTCTTCTTTATGTTGCAGTGCTGACCATGAGTTTGTACACATGTCTTGTTCATACACTGTTACATACTCCTATATGTTACTGTTAGAATTTATATCTGCGTCTGTATCAAGTTAGTAACAGATTAGTGCTTTTGTTTTCCCCAGGTGAAGAAGGGCTGCTGCAGATGTTAGTTGTCACTGAATTTGTCGCATTCCATAAATGCCGTCGGCAGTGTTTATATGTTATCTAAAACAACTTACTGTGTCTTATTCTAGCCAAGTCTCTATAATGTAGCAAGATGCTTTTGAATACCTGATCCAGGGAATTTCAACTTACTAGCATTGTATCAAGTCGGATTTCGTGGTCTTGTTAGTTGTTTGTGCTTGGCAGCTCTTGTGTTGAGCCATGATAGTTTCAGCGTCATGTATCACCGAAACGTGTTTGTTTGAGTGTGCTTGTCAGCTGCGGTTTGAAAAGCATGTCTACTTTCTTGTCTTCAAAGTGAGTTTTGCTTTGCTGCTGCTTGTCTAACACTACTTACCTTGTAATGGTTTATATGAGCCAGAGTAGCTTCCTTGCTGGCAAGTGGGATTAAACCTGTAGGTGTGTGCTTTTACAGTTTGATTGAGCACATATGTTCCTGTAGATTGAGAAGGATACCGAGTACCTCCTCGTGGCAGAGCTTTCTGCAGCAGTCTAGTATTGTTCCAACATTGTTCAGGTCCGAAGGTGTTGCCATTTTTGTTGTGCGGCTTACTTGCATTGGTTGCTCCTCAACCTGAACTGAACACATTTTCTTTCTTCAGTGTGTAATGGAGGAAGGAAATGGTTGATAAAACCAAGAGGCACGGACTTGTCCTTGCCTCTTGGTTTTAAAAGCTAAAATTTTCATAACGGTTTGAAAGCCATATTGTTCCTTCTTTTGAGGGAACCGATCCATCTTTGTAAACTTGAGAACCTGATTCATTTGACACTACCCCCTCTGCCCTCTGGACACTATTGTACAACAGATCTCTCTCATTGTGCAGGAAAAATTGTTAAAGAAACTAAGAGTTTGAGCAATCTGCACAAAATGAGTCATTCTGCTGAAACATAAGTCGTAGTATTATCGCAGAAATGTGTGCATAGTCCATTATTGCCCTCTTCTATAAAAAAGGAAATTCAGTAGATTTGCATGATGGCCACTCTGGATAAAATTGGAGTATTATGTAGGAACTGTGAAGCAACAAAGGATGTTCATGCCTTTCCGAACCTAGTGGATTATTGTTAGTAAAAATTTCACTTGTTGATTTTTTTTTTGCGGGTGAATTTCACTTGTTGATAATCCCTCTGTAAAGAAATATAAGATCGTTTAGATCACTATCTTATATTTCTTTACAGAGGGATTAGTGATCTAAACCATTTTATATTTCTTTAGAGAGGCAGTACTGAACATTCAGTGTTTAGTACAAATTGCATTTGTTGCTACTACGCACTTGTATTGCTTTTATACAGTTGATTTCTCTACTTCCTTCGCATGAATCGGTGGTTAGTACAAACATGCTATTAATTTCAACTACGATAACTAGAAACAGATTTGCACTCAAGGGGGAAATGAAACTGAGTTATTCATCTGCTGTAGAGGCTCAGCAGCGCTTAAATCTGCTCAAGACCTGGACATTTAACTGATTCACCATGGTTTACGTGAAACAGAGAAGGATGGCCAGAGCCTTGTTATCTTGAAATTCTATGGCCAATATGTGAAGAAGCTAATCTAGGCATCTTAATATCTCCAGATCCGGAGGAAAAATAAATAAAAGAAAACCATTGTTTGAGCATAAACAGAAGCATGCCTGACAGAAAACCAACAGTTTGGAGTACACTGGTGCATGCATTAGTCTTTTGCACGGTCACTGTTTCCAACGCAAACATGGCATAGCTGTAACCATCTGGCTTGTATGATATACTGATATTGCTCCAAAGTTCAGAGAACATAGTTCTGGACCTTCCGGTGCAACACAGCCAACTGTTCGTCTAGCTGCAGTCTGTGACTGTGATGATGCTTTCATCCCCTGCACACAGCTTTGCAAGCGCATAATCCTAAATATTTTGATTAGGATTATAGCAAAACCCTCTAGCTTTCAAATGGAACAAAAAGAGGCTTCATTTGTTTAGCATTTTACATTGTGAATAGAAAAAAAATCATATTTATTTAGCATTTTTTTTATAGCACGATAAGTTTAACAGCTCAAAGTCATATGTTTTGTCTGTTGAGGAACCGATCCATATTAGACTTAAAAGAGCTTGATGTAAAGCACTACCCCTCAGCACTCTGGACACTACTGTACATCAAATCTCTCATTGTGCAGGAAAAAAAGTAAAAAAAAAAACTCTGAATTTGAGCATTCTGCACAAATTGAATCATTCTGCTGAAACAGAATTTGTATTATTGCAGAAATGTGTGCATAATCCTTTTTGCCATCTTATATATATATATATATATATATAAAGTTCAGCTAGATCTACATGATGGCCACTCCAGATAAAACTAGAGTATTATGTAGGAACTGTGAAGCAAATAAGGGAGCTTAGAGACCAACAAAGGAAGTTCATGCCTTTCTAAACCTAGCGGATTATTGTTAGTAAAAATTGCACTTGTTGATAGTAAACATTCGGTGTTTAGTTAGTAGAATTGCACTTGTTGCTACTAAGCACTTGTTTTGCTTTCATATGGTGCATTTCTCAGCTTTCTTCGGAGGATTCGGTGTTCAGTAGAAACATGCTATTAATTTCAACTACGATGTTATTACCGAAAAAAAAACTACGATACTACAAACAGATGGCCAGCGCGGTGGTTCTAATTCACCATGGTTATGTGGTTCCAGTGAAACAAAGAAGGATGGCCAGCGCGGTGTCCTAACTAGAGCTTAAGTAGCCTCTTGTATGCACTGCTACACACAAACAGAAGTACTACTACTGCTACGTTTGCTTGTACACAGCCAACTATTCTAAGAGCACACACACACGTACTAGTAAGCCACTTGAGCCTTGGTTATTTCTATTGCACTGGAATGGCCTGAACTACAACGATGGGATATAGCTCCTTTTATAGGACACGGATATGGGGCAACTACCACGAACATGCACATCACATTCCTATGAAACTACTAGCTAGCTATGTAAACTTCTAGGAAATTACTAGGACCTGCTGCTTCCTTACAAGCCAAGGAAACTGATACTTCCTATCTAAACTTTGCTGCCCAACGTGTTGTGCCCATAGACAGGGTTTTAGCTCACACTAACAAGGCTCATGCATGTGTTTAGTGTGTGTTCATGGCAAACATACAGAGAAGGAAATGCACTCTGCCTCGAGAAAGAAGCTCCATAATATTTGAAATATTGAGGACAAACAGTAGATACATATATACTTGTCATGTCTTGGAACATAACGTTGCAAAACACAAGCGTGCAAGGGGACTCCTGTAAATGGATGTACAAGATAAAGTGAAAAAAAAATTCAAATATGAATTATTCAACCTACACATCGCCAAATTTGGATTTAGAATGTGACTTTTCTGTTGCCAAACTTTAGGCCGTAGCACAGTAGCCTACAGCCAAGACGTACATCTTGATCACCAGAGTTGATGGCAATATAGGCCAGTCAACAAGGCTTCAAAGACCCCAGCTGCTAGATTTGACTGTCCAATGTGCCTGTAGTAACAAATTATATAGTATCAGGTACCAACTGAGAAAAAGCAAGAACACTAGTCCATTGGTAACCTGATATTT